TCAGTATTATTTATCACATAAACATATCAAGTCTTATTTAGCATTGAAAAATATCATGAACTATGTATTATTTAAAAATATCAAGAATTATTTATTATTTATACATATCAAGTTTTATTAGCATTGAAAAATATCATGAATTATTTATTATTTAAAAATATCAAATATTGTAATATTCAATCAAGTTATCGATCAACTAATTGTTTTTTATTGGATGTAATGATTATAAGGAAAGGTAATTATGGATCATTCAAAACATCAAGTAAATAAGTAGCTTTGTCAAGTCAAATTTCCATTACATTTATTTGTTTGTTTTTTTATTCACCCACTACATTTATTTGTTATTTTAATTATTCACCCATTACAATTCATTTCATTCTATTATCAATATAGTGGTTAATTATGTATTCTGCGTGGTGGGATACACAATTAACCATTCAGCTCTAATATATTCACCCACTACATTTATTTGTTGTTTTTTAATTCACCCATTACATTTCATTCTATTATCAATATGGTGGTTAATTATGTATTCTGCGTGGTGGGATACATAATTAACCATTTGGCTCTAATATACTCACCCATTACATTTCATTTCATTCTATTTAAAAATATTATCAAAACATAAAATCAATTATTTAAAATATCAAGTATTATTTATCACATAAACATATCAAGTCTTATTTAGCATTCTATTATCAATATGGTGGTTAATTATGTATTCTGCGTGGTGGGATACATAATTAACCATTTGGCTCTAATATATTCACCCACTACATTTATTTGTTGTTTTTTAATTCACCCATTACATTACATTTCATTTCATTCTATTATCAATATGGTGGTTAGTTATGTATTCTGCGTGGTGGGATACATAATTAACCATTCGGCTCTAATATATTCACCCACTACATTTATTTGTGGTTTTAGTTTTTCACCCATTACATTTCATTTCATTCTATTTTCAATATGGTGGTTAATTATGTATTCTGCGTGGTGGGATACATAATTAACCACTCTCCTCTAATATACTAACCTCTCGTGGTAGAGCTGGAAACATTCTATACAAAGAGTGGCTAATAGTATAAAAAAATATAAATAAATAGATTATAAAAGCATATCATTAAAAAAAAAATATTATCAAAACATATCTAGGATTTTTTAGCATTAAGACATATAAAAGATTTAAAGCATTAAAACTATCGAGGATTTTTTTATAAATTTATTATCATTATACCCATTCAAGAATATACAATTGAATAGGATCATTCAATAATATCAAGATTTATTATATAATAATTATAAAGTAATTATTTTTTTTGATCATTAAACTTATCAAGTATTGTTTTACATTCAAGAATATTAAATATTATTTATCATTAAAAATTATCAAGTACTGTGTATTATTCATAATATATCAAATATTATGTATAATTAAAAATATCAAGTATTATATAGCATACAAAAATATAAACTATATTTAATCATTAAAATATATCAAGGATTTTTTAGCATTTAATTATAATTCAACTATAATTTATTTTTTTTTTATAAAATTTATTATCATTATACACATTCAAGAATATCAAGTTTTATTGTATAATAATTATAAAATTTATTCTCATTATACACATTCAAGAATATACTAGTGGATTGGATCATTACATTTATTTTTTCGTTTTTTTTATTCACTCTTTTCATTTGTTTTTTTTCACTCTTTTCATTCCATTTAATCAACTCTCTATAGGTATTTTGATTAAATAGATACTGAGGTGGGCCTGCTTGGTATCTATGTTTTTGAAATTCACCTAATTTTCAATCTGGTGGTTAATTATGTATTCTGCGTGGTGGTATACATAATTAACCACAAATTTTCCATATGGTGTTTAATTATTTATACTGCCTGAAGGTATAAATAATTAAAACATTTGGCTCTAATATACTAACCTCCCCGTGGTAGAGCTGGAAACACTCTTTACAAAGAGTGGCTAATAGTATAAAAAATATAAATAAATAAAATAAATAAAATAAAGGTATTAATATCTTTTTAATATCTTTAAAAATTAATTATAAAATCTTTAAAATTTTTTGGGCATTGTTTTTTTTATTTTTTGAAAGTTAAATTTGGCTAAATTAAAAAAAGAGATAGTTTTTCCAAAAAAAGAGATAATTATTAATCACTACTTTTTATATTTTTATTTTTATTTTATTTTTATTTTATATTTTATATTTTATTGTTTTATTGTTTCTATAGCTTTATTCCTCTTCATCTGAATAATTTAAATATCTAATTTTTATAATATCTTTTGGAATAACAATTATGGACATAAATAAAAGGAGTAATGATAAGCCCATGGCAAAAGTTGAAACAGGTAATAGGTCATGTTGATTGTACAAGTATCCAGAGAAGAAAGGGCCTACTACTCTTCCCAAAGACCCAGATGAACCAATAATACCCATTAAAGTACCTTGGGAGGCGTTTCCAATGGTTGAGGAGATTGCTTTTGAAAACATTGAGACCACTACAGTTTGAGCTAAAGGAAAACCAAAGCCCCATATTAATATATAACTAACTGTAAACTGGGTCCAATTCATTTGATGTACCATTGTAATAAAACATCCAGCCAACATTACCAAATTTCCAAACATTAATATCCAATAGTCATGTAAAATATCCTTCTTGCAGAACCAACTAATAAGTAAAAGTAAAAATATACCCATAAATCCTAATCCACCAAAAAAGTAGCCACTGTTTTTACTGTCAATGGTATCGTCTAAATTGTTATAAATTGGTGTGCCAATGGTTTCATAAATACCCTATTAATATAAAGTTTAAGTTAATATATGTGGATATAATTCGAAAGGTATTAAATGTTACTTACCAAAACAGCTCTGATTAAGAAATTGATTATTACAAACAAGACCAAGTTTATAAAAACTCTCTTATTTTTATATAATACTTTATACATTGAGTCATTTGAGGCGTTTATACCACTGGAGCTATTTTTTAGAGAGTTACTATTTGATAAACAGTTACTACTTGTACTTGTGCTCTCTTCATTGCTAAAATTTAAATCACAGCCATTGTTGTTATTTTTCGATTCATTCTCGACGTTTATAGTTTGAAGCGATGAATAACTTGTGTTATAAATTAATTGTGATGGTGATGGATTTGAAAAGAATAAAATGATGACCAATAATAAAATTAAATTTTGAAAGAATAAAAACCAACCAGGAGATGTTACTTGATCGATTTTAATTGGACCAACATAAAATACTGGCAAGTATGTGAGTAGTGAGCCAATAATTGGGGATACTGCAAAACCGAGGAATTGAAGTGCACTTGATAGTGCGATATAAGTTGTTCTTTCATTGGGCATTGTTATATCGGCCAAGTATGCTCTTACTACACTTAAAGTACCAGCACCAAAACCTAAAAGAAATCTTGAAGACACTAAAATCGATTGACCCAAGAATACGTTATCTTCTTCAATATAAGCCAAGCAGTAACCTAAACAACTTATAACACAAAGAAAAATGGAGCCATTGAATAGTTGTTTATAATTTGTATGATTTGAAAACATTCCCAATACCATAGTTGCTATTAATCTACCCAAACTGAATGCAGATATTACAATTCCTAAAAGAGATGCAGTTCCACCCATTTCATCGGTATAAAGGGTAATGGTTGGAATAATAATACCTCTTGCAACTTCCCCGAAAAATAATATTGCAAATACTATTAAGATATTCATCCATTTCGATAATTTACTTTCTTTTATTTTATTACTATATAACAATAGCTCTTTTTCTGATTCCATATCTATTAAATTACTATTTTCATCACCATTATTATCGTTTTCATTATAATAATCATTTAAATTATCATCTGAATTTTGTTTTAACATTTTATTTGAATTTTTTTTTTTTGAATTTTTTTTTTTTTGAATTTTAATTGATATAAATATTGTTTAGAATATATACAGGATATTATTTATTATTTAAAAGTATTGTTTTATAAAATTATTAACATTTAATAGTATTGTAATATAATTGGATAAACTAATTTTAATACACACACAAGATTACAAAAAAAAAAGCTATTAAATATATTCCAATTATATTATTACTATGGATCTATGTGTGTGAGAACAAAATGTGTTGTTTTGCTTTTGTTTTTGTTGCCAAATGTATTTAATAAGTTTATATTTTTTTTTTGGTTTAAAATCTTTTTTTTTTTTTTTTTTTTTTTTTTTTTTTTTTTTTAAAAAAAAAATTACTATTTAAATCTTTTTTTTAAAAAAAATAAAATATTTTTTATTTTTTTTTTTGGTAAAAAAATTAATTAACTATGGGGGGTTGGGATGCTTTATATTATTATTTTAAATGTTAATTATTATTATTAATTTTATTATTAAAGAAAAATAACCACACACACATATATTTAAATAAAAACAAAAAAAAAAAAAATAAACAAATAAATAAAATAAAATAATTAAATTTATTTAAAATAAATAAAAAATAAAAAAATAAATACACAAATTACTTTTTTTTTTTTTTTAAGATTTAAATAGATGATTTTTAATACCCCTTTTTCACACTACATTACTACAAAATACACTGACCCACACCTTCCACAAACATTCCATAAAAATGATTTCTTTATATTTTATCTTTTAATACCATTTTTAACTATAATTATTATAAAATATTAATAACCGTATTAAAAAAAAAAAAATTTATTGTTAAATCTATTATAAAAGGAGCATTTCAATAATAATATATCAAATATAATTACAATAAATATAATTAGTGATTTGTTTTCCCTATAAACTCAAAAAGAGAGAATTACGCGCTTAAATTTTTAATTTTTTTTTTTTTTTTTTTTTTTTTTTAAATTTTTTTTTAAATTTTTTTTTTTTTAAATATGTATTATTTTTTTTATTATTTTTAAATAAATAGCAATAAAAGAATAACCCTTTCTTTCTCTTTTTTTTTTTTTTTGTATTGGCGCATATGTGTGTTTTTAATTAATATTAAATTATTATAATAAACTTACAAAGTAATAATAAATATATTATATATGCAATAACAATTTAATAATAATAATATAATAATAATAACAATAATAACAATAATAAATTTTTGATTTTAAAAAAAATCAAATCTATTAATAATAATTGAAATGTCTCAAAAATGGAATGAAAATGAAACAAAGGTAGACAAAGATATCCAGAATGAAAGTAAATATGTATATGAAAAAGAAGGTTGGTTAGTTAATATGCAACCAGTAAGTAGAAACAATTACAATAATTTTCAACAAACTAAACAAAAAAATATCTATAAATCTTTAATCAATCTGTAATCGATCAATCTTATCAATAAATATCAAAAATATATGAATAATATTGTTTTTTATTGTTATAAAATAATTTTCCACTTTAATAATACAAACTTTGCTATATTAAAACTTTTGCACACCACACCATTCACCACTATTCCCCACCATTCCCCAATTTTCACATATCTTTATATATTTATTTAAATATCATTAATCATTATTAAAATTAATAATTTATACACTTATTATCATCTTTATTTAATATTAATATCAAATTTATTTTTAGTCCTCATCAAAAGACAAAGAATTAGGAATCGATAAATCATCTTTGGAATTATTTTTTATTCAAGACGATGCAAGTTCCTTTAGAGCTTGGATACCATATAATCCATATTTTTATATTTATGTTAAAGAAGGACATCAAAACGAAGTAGAATCATATTTAAAAAAGACATATGAAAAAAAGATAGCAGGTATAGATATTTTAGAGAAAGAGGATTTGGATTTAGAGAATCATTTATCTGGGTTAAAGAAAAAGTATTTAAAAATTAGATTTCACAATGTTCAAACTTTAATGGCAATTAGAAATGATATTTTTCCAATAATTAAAAAAAATAAACAAAAGACAAATACATCAGAGGCATATGAAGATGAAACCTTATCTAGTATTTTGAGCAGTTTAAATAGCAATAATAATAATAATAATAATAATAATAATAATAACTATGGAAATTCAAAAAATAAAAATAAATCAAAACATTCCAATAAAATGCCAACAGAATATATTTTAGATATTAGAGAATATGATGTACCCTATTATGTTAGAGCTGCTATCGATTTAAATATACGTGTTGGACTTTGGTATACTGTTTCAAAGAGTAGCCAGTCGAGTCCACCCATTGTTACCGAAATCCCAAATCGTCCATATAGACCGGATCCAAAAGTTTTGGCCTATGATATCGAAACTACCAAATTACCTTTAAAATTCCCAGATTCTTCAATTGATTCAATTATGATGATATCATATATGTTAGATAGACAAGGTTATTTAATTGTAAATAGAGAAATTGTTAGTGAGGACATTAAAGATTTCGAATATACACCAAAACCGGAATACTATGGCCCATTTACGGTGTTTAATGAACCTAATGAAGTATGTATAATAATAAATACTATTTAATAAAATTAATAATTAATAATATTTTTTAAAATTTAGAAAGCAGTAATAGAAAAATTTTTTAGTCATATTAAAGAAGAAAAACCACATATTTTTGTATCATACAATGGTGATATGTTTGATTGGCCTTTTGTAGAAGCGAGAGCAGTTCATCATGGTATTGATATGCTCAGAGAAATAGGGTTTAGATGTGACAATGGTGAGTATAAAAGTAAAACAAATCCACATATGGATGCATTTTGTTGGGTAAAAAGAGATTCATATCTTCCACATGGTAGTCATGGTTTAAAAGCTGTAACAAGAGAAAAGCTTCGTTATGATCCACTTGAATTGGATCCAGAATTAATGTTAAAGTCAGCACAAGAAGATCCAGAGACTCTTGCAAATTATTCAGTTTCTGATGCAGTTGCAACATATTATCTCTATATGAATTATGTTCATCCATTCATTTTTTCACTCTGTACAATTATTCCATTAAATCCAGATGATGTTTTAAGAAAAGGTTCTGGTACTCTTTGCGAAGCTCTATTGATGACCCAGGCATTTAAAGCCAATGTTATTTTCCCAAATAAGCATAAAGATGATATCAACAGCATGTACAAAGGCCATTTAATCGAGTCAGAAACTTATGTTGGTGGTCATGTAGAATGTTTAGAGTCTGGTGTATTTAGATCTGATATTCCAACTAGTTTTTCCTTAGATCCAAACTCAATCGAAATTCAAATGAATAACGTAGATGCAGTTTTAGAGTTTGCATTAAAAGAAGCTAAACTCGATAAAAGTACCATTGGAAACTATCAAGAAGTTAAAGATGATATTATTAAAAAATTTAAAAATCTTCAAGAACACCCAAAGCAACTCAGTCACCCATTAATCTACCATTTAGATGTATCTGCTATGTATCCAAATATTATTTTAACAAATAAACTTCAACCAGCTGCTGTCGTTAATGAGGAGTTTTGTGCTACATGTGTTTATAACAAACCAGAGAATAAATGTCAACGTACTCTAGATTGGCAATGGAGAGGTGACTATTCACCATCAAATCATTCTGAATATCGTTTAATTTTACAACAATTAGAATCTGAAAAGTTTGGTAATGACTCCACACCATATAACGATTTGGACGAAGAACAACGTAATACTCTTCTTAGAAAAAGATTAAAGGAATACTCTAAAAAAGTTTACAGAAAGACTCACATCATCTCTCAAGAAATTCGTTCCGATACCATTTGTATGCGTGAAAATTCATTTTATGTTGATACTGTTCGTAATTTCCGTGATCGTCGTTATACATACAAGAACCTTCATCGTGATGCAAAGACCAAGTATGACAAATCAATGAAAGAGTCTGGTGGTGCCAATAGTGTCGCTGTTTTAGAAGCACAAGGTGAAGTTATCCTTTACGAATCTTTACAATTAGCTCATAAATGTATTTTAAATTCTTTCTATGGTTATGTAATGAGAAAAGGTGCTAGATGGTACTCTATGCAAATGGCAGGTATTGTAACACACACAGGTTCAAATATTATTAAAGAAGCTCGTGAAGTAGTAGAACAAATGGGTCGTCCATTAGAAATCGATACCGATGGTATTTGGTGTATACTTCCATCACATTTCCCAGAGAATTATACGTTAAAATCCGATAATGGTAAAAAGATAACATTCTCTTACATTTGTGAAATGTTAAATGAAAAAGTTTCAAAAAACTTTACCAATCATCAATATCAAGATTTCGACCCAGAAACTAAAGAATATACAATTCGTGATGAATGTTCAATTCTCTTTGAATGTGATGGTCCATACCGTTGTATGTTGATCCCAACCTCAAAAGAAAAAGATGTCAAATTAAAGAAACGTTATGCAGTCTTCAATAAAGAAGGTCGTATTTGTGAACTAAAAGGTTTTGAAATTAAAAGACGTGGTGAATTAAAATTAATTAAAGAGTTTCAATCTCAAGTTTTTAAAGAGTTTTTAGGTGGTGACTCATTGGATGGTTGTTATCAAAGTGTAGCTGCTGTTGCAAATCGTTGGTTAGATTTCTTGGACTCTCATGCTGAAAACTATGAAGAAAAAGATCTTATCGAACTTATTACAGAAAGTAGTAATATGAGTAGAAAATTAGAAGAGTATGGTAGCCAGAAAAGTTCAGCTATTAGCACTGCAAAGAAATTAGCAGAGTTCCTCGGTGATGAAATGGTCAAAGATAAAGGTCTTTCCTGTCAATACATCATTAGTAATAAACCAACAGGTGCTGCCATTACCGAGCGTGCCATTCCAGTTGCAATTTTCGATGCTGATTATGAAACTCGTTGTTATTACCTCAGAAAATGGATTAAAAGTGGAAGCAGTAATGATTTAGAAATTCGTGAACTCATTGATTGGGACTACTATAGACAAAGACTTTCAGGTGTAATTCAAAAAATTATTACAATTCCAGCTGCTCTTCAAAATGTTTCAAATCCAGTTCCAAGAGTTACTCATCCAGATTGGATCTTAAAAGAGATTAGAAAAAATGAAGATGGAAGACAACAAACATCAATTACTTCATTTTTTGAACCTTCATCAAATAGTAATAATAATGACAATGATGATCAAGATCAACCAGGTGAAATTCAAGATATTGAAAATATGTTTTCTTCAAGATTTAAAAATCTACCACCAGTACAACCAAAAGTTACAAAACATAAGCGTATCAATCAAAACTCAATTATTAGCTCGTTAAAAAAAGCAAATTCAAGATCACATTTATTTAATAATCAAGAAGAAGAAGAAAGAATACTAAAAGAAAAGACCCCATCTTATGAAAAAGATTTTGAAGGTTGGTTAGAATCTTCAAAAAAGAAATGGCGTGTTCAACGTTTACAAAGAAAGAGAGAGAAAAACAATAAACAAAGATTCAACAATAATTCCACCAATACCAATATTGATGATGATTCATTTAATATTAGATCAAGTTCAAGTCTATTTAATAGTACAAGTAATAATTCAAACAATTTCTTTAAGAGCCAATCAGATTTAATTAAAAGAGGTGTTTGGAATATTATTTCAATTGAACCTGTTCCAAATCAAAATGGACTTTATCAATTTTGGTCATTAATCGATGATCAAATTATACCAATTAAAGTTTCAATTGATAGAGTTTTCTATTTGAATAGTATCGATAAGAATCCACATCCATTAGCTAAAGAAGAACCAAATGTTGTACCACCACGTTCGAAACCAAAGATTAATCTTTTCTCCCTTTCAATGTCCGAAGAAACATTCTTGCAAGAATCTAGAGAATTAAATACTCTTTTTACAAATCCAATGATCGAAGGTGTTTATGAAACCAAAGTACCATTAGATGTTAAAGCTATTATTGAAGTTGGTTGTATTGCGTCACTCTCACGTTCAAGTCCATTTTTCACAAAGATTGTTAATAGCAATACCCATTTCTCATTAAATGATATCAGTAGAAAACAAGAAAAACAATTCTCCTATTTATCAGAACAAAATTTCAATCAACTGTTTCTTTACGAAAACACTAGAGATGGAAAAGATGGTTATTTTGCACTCTACAATATGAATACTAATCAATGCTCGATCGTTTTCTCTAATCCATATGCTGGTACCAAAATTGATCAAAGAGTTTTAAACAACATAAAAGATAAATTACCAAATATCCAATTTACTCTTCAACAAAAGAACTCAATGGTCAATGCCAGAAAAGAAATTTCCAATCTTTTACTTGAATATCAACGTAAAGGTCCAACTATTATTTGCTTACAATCTGCCTCACCTTCCAATATTATTGAACAAATCACCATTCTCAAAGAGTTCCCACGTGTACCTATAGTATTCCACGAAGAAGATTCTAAATACTCACCATTCAATTGGGAGGTACATGCATTAAAACCATTAGTAGTTCGTCTATCAGATATCCCACAACTCTGGGTTTACTATGCCAATATGTCACGTTATTCAAATATTCCAATTGGTAATTTACCTGCTGATTGTTACTCATTCATTAGCGATGTTTTATTCTCTCGTTCATTAAAAGATCACAGCCATTTACTTTGGATGTCTGATTCAAATTTCCCAGATCTTGGTGGCTCCGAAGAAGATGATGCTAAATTCTATGAAGAACTTAATAGTGTAGAAATTAATCATACTGATTGTTACAATCAAGTCTGTGTCGAATTAGATATTTCAAGTTTAGCCACAAACACCATTTTAGAATCATTACATTTGGCCGAAATCGAAGGTATTCTAGGTAGTGAAATCGGTGACGAAGCAGCTATTTCAATTTTCGAAAAGTCTAACGCTAAAGATAATGGTAACTCTGATTCCAATGACGGTTTTGATAAATATTCAATTGCCAATAGATCAGCTATTAATCACCAAATTAGTGGTTGTGAAAAAGAATTTAACATTCTTAGAAATATGGTCTCTAAATGGAAACTTGATTTGGTATCTGGTAGTAGTAGCCAAAAGAATTCGATCTGCTCAAAATATTCTGAACAACTTTTACTTCACTTTTACCGTTGGATTAGCTCACCATATTCCAAACTTTATGACCCAATTATCTTCCGTACCCTTCACCAACTTATGAAAAAAGTATTTATTCAATTAATTTTCGAATTTAAAAAATTAGGTTCAAAAATTATCTATGCCAATTTTAACAAGATTATAATTTGTACCTCCAAAGAATCAATTGAAGATGCTCAAACCTATTGCAACTTTATTCTCTCAGTTATTAAAAAGAAAGAATTATTCTCATGGATCGGCTTCAAGGCTTCAAACTATTGGTATAATTTATTGTGGATGAATAATACAAATTTCTCTGGTATCCTATATAAGTTTGATCAAGATGATAGTGATATCGAAGATAATCAAGAAACCAGCGACAAACTCCTCAAAATTAAAAATGGTGAAATTAAAATCAATTGGAATATTTCTGAATTTTTACCACCTCAAATTCAGAATTCATTTATTGTTATTATTTCAGATTTCATATTTAGACTCTATAATTCTAAAATTTTAATTAAAAAACAATATCAACAACAACAACTCTCACAATCTCAAGATTCTGTAAATAGTGATATTTCATTAAACTCAAATGGTGAATTTATTAGACCAAATCTTCGTGACAGCTCAACTTGGTTAGAAGAAGATGAAGAAGATGCTCCTTCAGATAAATTTAAATCATTTAATCAATTAAACAATAATAATAATAATAACAGTGATAGTCTATCATCCTCAACATCATCACAACAACCACCAACATTATTATCACTAAATATCAATAACAGATTTAATTTATTAGTTGATAGTAACCGTATTTACACAATGTTACAGAGTTTCCAACAAAACTATAACCTTTTAGAATTTCCAATTTTACCAGGTAGCCATCTCGAATTAACCAATCCACCACTAGAGTTTATCAAATTTGTTTGTCATGTACTCTCAATTGATAAATCAATAGCATCAAAAGTTCAACGTTTAAGAAAGAATTTAATGAAAATGATTAATGTTAGAGAATTTTCTGAAGAAGCTCAGTTCAACGACCCATGCATTTCTTTCACACTCCCAGATGTTATTTGTTCATCTTGCCACTCTTGTAGAGATATCGATCTTCTTAGAAATAGAAATACTACCGATTCAATTGATGATGATAATGGTGTATCAGTTAATAATGACAATGAACTATCCTGTACTCAATGTAAAAGTAAATATTGTAAAAATACAATCGAAAGTCAACTTGTAGAAATTATTCAAAGACGTTCATTATCTTATCAGCTTCAAGACTTAAAATGTTCTAAATGCCACGATATTAAATCCGATAATTTATCTGAAATTTGCGCACAATGCTCCGGAAATTGGGAATGCACTCAAAATAATAATCAATTTTTAACAGAGTAAGTAGTTTTATGTAAATTATTTTATTATTAATAATTAATATTAATTTTTGTTTTTTTTTTTTTTTTATAGTTTAATTATCTTTAAAAACATTGCTAAATTTTTTAATTTCGAATGGTTAGACGAAACAGTTACAAAACTTCAATCAATTTAAAATTAATTATTAAATTAAATTAATTACTCATTATTATTACAAAATGTAAAAATAAAAATTATAATAAAATTAAAAAAAAAAAAAAACTCAATGTATTACGTACTTTTTTAATCAAGATATTAACTATTAATTATTATTACTCTTTTTTTTTCCCATTACCAAATAATTATTATTATCATAAAAACTATGTTAATATTTATAATAATAAAAAATTAAAATTAAAAATAAAAATAAAAATTATAGTAATGTTATAGGGGTAGATTTTAGCAACAAAAAAATTATAATGGTGAATGTGGGGAAAAATTCAAAAATAATAATTTTTTATATGAAATAAATAAAGATTTGTATTGTTAAAAATTAATATGTCTTATTTCATTGGTATTATTGTTTTTAATATAAAAGGAAAAATTCAGTTATAATTAAAAAGGAGAAATAGTGTTGTTATAATTTATGTTAAAAATATTTATAATTGTTTTATTTCAAAAAAAAAAAAAAAAAAACCATGGTTTTTCACGCGTTTTAGCTCTAAATATCCAACACCTCTACACAACACCATAACTTATTTTTTTTAATGAGAGAGAAGAAAAAATTTATTATTTGAATAATCAGAACATGGATCTGAAACCTTTTAAAAAAAAAATAAAAAAAAATAAAAATATTAAAATATTTAAACTAAATTAGACAAAATAAAGAAAAAAAAAAATTATTTGAAAAAAATAGATATTTAATTTTTTTTTTTTATTTTACAATTTATTTAATTTTATTTATTTTATTTTATTTTATTTTATTTTATTTTATTTTATTTTATTTTTTTATTTTTTTTTTTATTTATTTATTTTTCATTTCAAAAATAATAAATAATTTTTTTTTTTTTTAAATTATAATTTTATTGTAAATAATAACAACAATAACATTTTTTCTAACTAAAAACTATAAATCTTTTTTTTTTTTCCTCCACTAAATAATTCCAAAAATGACTTTTGTTAAAGGTGTATGTTACGATCCACAAAGAGCCAAAGAATCTGTTTTAAAAACCAAAGACCTCTTAAATGATATTGAAGGTATCATTAAAAAGGACAATCCCTCCAAAGAGGAAGTTTTCGATGCTTATAAATTATATGAAAGTTTACCAATTACTTTCCAAATCAATTGGGCTGTAGCAGGTAAGTTATTATTAATACCATTTCCAATTTTAATTTTATTATATTAATATTTTCTTTATAAATAGGCGAAGATGCAAGTGAAAATCAAAAAATTGCTGATTTTTGTAGAGATAAATTAAATGAATTAAATCATGTCCATGGATTCACTCATGCTAAAATTCCAAGAGCTTTCAACGCTGACAACTATTAAAAACAAATAATTCTTTAAAATAGAAATTATTGTAAATAATATAATACCCTATCCCAATTTTGTAAATAGATAAAAAATAAAATAAAAACTTCAAAAAAATAGAAAAACCTTAAAAAATAAAATAAAAGCTTAAAAAATATAAAAACAAAACCTTTAAAGTTTATAAAAAGATTGTTTTTTTTTTTCTATTATATTATTTAGAATTACATTTGGATTAATAAATATTATCCACTTTTATTTTAAATATTATTTAATTAAAAGGAATGAAAATAGGTAAGTTATAATGTTTTTATAAAAACAATATTCAAGAAATTGGAGTTATAGTATATATGAGTTATTAATTATAGGCTATTGGCTATTAGATTCTAATTATTATTTGTTTCGTTGTTTGTTTCCAAATTGTATATGAATTTGCTTTTTTTTTTTTTTTTTTTTTTTTTTTTTTTTTTTTTTTTTACTGGTTTATTCATACTGAATAGTACAAAAGATTTGAAACCTACAAAAAGTAATCTGGAAGCTCCTTGTTTGTGTCCAAATTTGGTTTGTTGGATAAGCTATCTGGTGCTGCAGCGTATGTATTGAAATATCTTTCTAGTTTTTCATTGACTTCGACTATTGATGCCATATTTCCACATCTATAACAATAATTTGGAGCTGACCAAACAGTTGAAAGTCTATTATCGAATAAAGTTTGATAACCATCCATGCATAATTGATGGGCTCTAATAATGTGTTGCATTTTGTTTGTATGTAAAAATCTCATAACAACATCTTTACCATAGCTATAACCTGCACCTCTTTGACTCTCTACAAAACCGTCTCTTTCTGGATCTGGGTCTAATTATTTATTATTTAAGAAATAAAAAGAGAAATAAAATTAATATTTTTATATTTATAGCCATTAAATATGCAACAATACATACCACTCCAAAGGATATCGCTGAGAGCACCTTCGTTTGGTACCTCTTGGAATCTATCTAAAACTTTAATTTGATCAATAGCTGGGGCAGATGGTGATAAACCACCGTGGACACAATAAATTGCATCATCGATAATAGCTGCGACTGAAAGATAATCAAACATTTCTGTAAAATATTTCCAAACAGTTGGATTACCATATTTTCTCATACACTCACCATAAAAACCATAAACTTGTGTAATTTGTCTTGATTCATGGTTACCTCTTAAAAGTGTTATACGTGATGGATATCTAAATAGAAAATATATATTAATAAAATTTTCTTTTTAATATTTAGTTTCCTAAAGAAAAACTAGTTTACCTTAGTTTTAAACATGTTAAAAGTGAAATAGTTTCAACACTATGATAACCTCTATCTACATAATCTCCTAAAAATAAATAGTTTGTATTTGGACATTGACCACCAATTTTGAAAATTTCTAATACATCATAAAATTGACTAAAATATTTTATAGATTTAAAATTATTAGTATGTATATAATGAATATAATTGTATTATATGTTGATTTAACAATTACCCATGTACATCACCAACAACGGTCACTGGTGATCTGATTTCTTGAACATTTGATTCACCGATTAACAACTCTTTCATTTTATCGGTGATCTCTTTAATTGTGCTTTCTGGGAGGATTTCACATCTCTGTAATTTTTCAATACAATAATCTAAATTTAAAGATGATGCACTTGAGGAATTCATTCTTTTTTTTTTTTTTTTTTTTTTTTTTATTTTAATTTTGATTTACCTGCAATACTATACAACAATAAAATTTAAAAAGACAACAACAAAAAATCAACTATTTTTATAAACACGCTTTTATTATATATCTAATTTTTTTGATTTAAAATTAACAAATAAAAATGTGTTGTTTTTTTTTGTTTATTATGAGTGCGAAAATAATAGTGCGTGGTTAATATGTAAGAAAAAAAAAAAAAATATATAAAGAAAGCAAATAAAATTTTATAAAAATTATAAAAAAAATCTAATAAAAATTTTATTATTTTTTTTTATTTTTTTTATTATTTTTTTTTATTTTTTTTTTTGTAAAATTTTTTTCTTTACAAAATAAAAAAAGATGAGCCACTCAAAAAACCATTGAGTTATATTTTCTAAACAAAAAGAATAAATCAAAACTTATACATAATAATTAAATTCACAAATAAATAAATATAAAAAAAAAAAAAAAATAAAAAAAGAAAAAAAAAAAAAAAATAAAAAAAAATGAAACGACAAAAGATAATTGTCTGATATTTTTTTTAATCAACACTTTTCTTTTTTTTTTTTTTTTTAAAAAAAAGATATTGATCAACACCCCTTTTTTTTCAAAAAAAATAAAAAGTTTCTGTTTAAAGATGAAATTTAGGTTTGATTTTTTTTCGAAAATTATTAATTTATTTTATATATAATAAAAAAGTATTAGGCCATGTAATCTGGAAGTTCTTTGTTTGTGTCCAAATTTGGTTTAAAAACACTTTCTGGTGATGCTGCAAATGTATTGAAATATCTTTCTAGTTTTTCGTTGACTTCGACTATTGATGCCATATTTCCGCATCTATAATAATAATTTGGAGCTGACCAAACAGTTGAAAGTCTATTATCGAATAAAGTTTGATAACCATCCATGCATAATTGATGGGCTCTAATAATGTGTTGCATTTTGTTTGTGTGTAAAAATCTCATAACAACATCTTTACCATAGGTTTGTCCAGCACCTCTTGGGCTTTCAAGGAAACCATCCTTATCTGGATCTGGGTCTAAAGATTTTTATAATAAAGTTAGAAATATAACAAAGATATTATGTAATCAATAAAATATACATACCATTCCAAAGGATATCACAAAGAGCACCTTCATTTGGTACATCTTGGAATCTATCTAAAACTTTAATTTGATCAATTGATTGGGCTGATTGTGATAAACCACCGTGGACACAATAAATTGCATCATCGATAATAGCTGCGACTGAAAGATAATCAAACATTTCTGTAAAATATTTCCAAACAGTTGGATTGCCATATTTTCTCATACATTCACCATAAAAACCATAGATTTGTGTAATCTGTCTTGATTCGTGATTACCTCTTAAAAGTGTTATACGTGATGGATATCTGAATAGAAAATATAAATTTTATTTGAATTAGTTTATAAACTACCTTCAACAATATAAAGAAACTATTATCTATGCTATTATTATTGTTGTTGTTATTACTTGTATCTTTTCTAAAAATTATAAAATATACCTTAATTTTAAACATGTTAAAAGTGAAATGGTTTCAACTCCATGATAACCTCTATCTACATAATTTCCTAAAAATAAATAGTTTGTATTTGGACACTGACCACCAATTTTGAAAATTTCTAATACATCATAAAATTGACTAAAATATAATATTGAAAATTTAAAATAATTATTAGCACATTTGATATAATGGATTAATTAATATATATGATGCTTTAATAATTACCCATGTACATCACCAACAACGGTTACTGGTGATCTGATTTCTTGAACATTTGATTCACCAATTAACAACTCTTTCATTTTATCGGTGATCTCTTTAATTGTATTTTCTGGGAGGATTTCTCCTCTTTGTAATTTTTCAATACAATAATCTAAATTTAAAGATGAGGTATTCATTTTAAAATTTATAGTGTATTTGATATTATTACTATTTTTTATATATTTAAAATTAAAAATACAGCTGTAAATTTTGAAAAAAATAAAATATAAGTAATCTTGAATTAATAGTTTATTAAAAGATGATATTATTATTATTGTTGCTGTTATTATAATAAATGATAAAAATAGATGAATACTTTTTTTTTTTTTTTTTTTTTTTTTTTTTCAGTTATTTGATTTATAATACAATATTTAAAATATACTTATAACAATTAATGATATTATTAATACACTTTTCAGTAAATATCAAAAATAATCAAAAAAAAAAAAAAAAAAAATTTAAAAAAAAAAAATTTAAAGAAAAAAAAAAAATTTAAAAATAAATTAAAAAACTTTTTTTTTTTTTTTTAATGCCAACTGAAACAAAGCTTCAATTCCATCAATATTAATATGACGTGTTTTTTAATCTTATTTTTACTTTTTTTTTTTTTTTAATTTTTTTTATACTTTGTAAAGATAAGTAATATTTATTTGAAATAAACTTATCATTATTTAAAAATAAATTAAAGATTATTATTTTAAATATAAAGTTTTTTTTTTTTTTTTTGCAAACATAGTGGGTATTTGTTTAAATTTTTTGAGCCCTAAACCATATTTCCTTTTTTTTAGGAAAAAAAAATAAATGAAATAACCGAAATATTGTTAATAATATTATACATTTTAATTAAATGTCTATTTTATTATTATAATATCAAGCCAGTCCTATTTAACTCCCCCAATAAAGATATTCACAAATATTTTGAAAAAAATATCTTTTAAATCTTTTATTTTATATTTTTTAAAATTTTTAATATGGGGAACAATGAGGTTCATACTGTTACTAATTTATTGGTTAAATATTTAACATTATTTGATTAAAAAAGAAGGGATTAAATTAATATTAAATGTATTTTTTTTAATTTTAAATAAAAATAAGAAAAATTATTATTTATTTTATTTTTATTTTTTTTTTGTAAAAAAATGGTGTTTTAAAATGGTGTTGTGGGGGGTGAATGTAAGAGAAACGATATTTATTTTATGTGTGGGGTTAAAAAAATTATAAAAGGAAATAATGAGATTTGAAGCAAAAACAAAAAATCAAATATGATTGGTTTCTTAATACATTTTTTTAAACTCTATCTCTAAATAAAGTATATTAAATTTAATATTATATCTTTTTTTAATATTATTATTATAAATAAAAATAAAAAAACAAAAAAAAAAAAAAAAAAAAATTAAGAAAATAAAAAAAGATTAATTAATTTATTATATGTCTTATTATTATCTATTTTTTTTTTTTTTTTTTTTTTTTCATTAGGTAACTAAAAAAATTAATTTATTTTTTATTTTTTTTAAAGGACAATTTTTTTTTATAATTTTTTTTTGAAACTTAAAAATCATTGGAGGGAAAATTATTACTTTTAAAATTAGTGGAGGGGTTTAAAAAATTTTAAAAAGGGAAAAGCCAACAAACATTATAATTTTATTTTTTTTATTTTTAATTAAAAATTTTTTTTTTTATTTTTTTTAACCCTTTTTTTTTTTCCAAATTTAAAGTTCAAAAAGAATTTTATTAAAAAGTTTCATTCTTAACCCCACCAAATTTGTTTGGTTAAACATAACCAAAATCCCCCCCTATAACCCAACCCCCCCTTCACATAACATTCAGAGAGAAAAAAAATCTTTTTTTTAATTATTTTAATTTTTTTTTTTTTTTTTTAATTTTTTTTTTTATAATTATTTTTTTTAATTTTTTAAAATAAATTATTTTTTTTTCTTATGATTATTGTTTCATCACCGATTATCTTTTAACTAGCATATTATACTCAAAATTATAATAATAGTAATAATCATATTTATATATTGTTTATAATAATTTAGTTTTAAAAACAATAAAAAAAAAAAATTAGTTTTGGAAACAGTGCCCAATATAATTTAGTTTAAATTATTAATTATATATATTTATTGTAATTAATTAATTAATAAATTAATTTATATATTTTTTAAATTATAATTATTCAGTTTTATTAATATTATTATTATTATTTTATAATAGTTTTTACAAAAAAGAAATAAATAATAAAAAAACAAAAATTAATTTTTAATTTTTAAAATTAAAAAAAAAAAAATGGTAAATAAACCATCATCCTCATCACCATTTGTGATGAATCAACAAATTTTAAGAGTTGGGTGCGGTGCAGGATACCAAGGTGATAGGGTGCCTCCAGCAGTATCATTGGTTGAAAATGGCAAATTGGATTATTTAATTTTGGAGTGTTTAGCAGAAAGAACACTAACTGATAGTATCAGAAGAATGAAAAATAATGGTAAGGGTTACGATCCTCGATTAAAAGAATGGCTCACATCATTGTTACCACCTGCCATCAAAAGAAACGTAACTATCATTACAAATATGGGTGCTGCCGATCCAAAAGGTGCTGGCGAAGAGGCAATCGAAATTGCAAAGTCGTTGGGTTTAAAAGTTAAAATAGTGGTTATAAGTGAAGATATAAATCATAACACCAACTATAGTACTACTCCACAAACAACTACAACAATTTACCAAATTAATCCAAACCAAGTAAACAACACTAAAATCAAAATGTCAAGTACCAATGGCTTTGCTGTTGATGGTGGTTTAGATTCTGACCAACATTCAAGTTTGGAGGAAAATTGGGAGGTTGGCTGTACTTATTTAGGTGCTGATGCTATAATCGATGCTTTAAAATTAAATCCTGATTTAGTTGTAAGTACACTTTTTTAATAAAAAATAAAAAAATAAAAGATGAAAAATATTAATACCATTTTTTTTTTTTGTAAAAAATAGATTGCAGGTAGAGTTGCTGATCCATCATTATTTGTAGCACCTATTGCACATACTTTTGGATGGGATTTAAAAAAAGATTTTAATCTTATTGGACAAGCAACATTAGCAGGCCATCTTTTAGAGTGTGGTTGTCATTTAACTGGTGGTTATTTTGCTCATCCCTTGGGTAGAGATATGAAGTTTGATGATTTGTTAAATTTATCATTACCATTTTGTGATATCGATAGATTTGGAAATATTGTATTGGGCAAAGTAGAGGGCAGCGGTGGTGAATTATCCGAAAGAACTTGCAAACAACAATTAACTTACGAAATTCACAATCCAAAAGAATATATAACAGTAGGTTTCACTTTATCTCTATAGGTTTAAATTTAAAATAATAATTATTTATTAATTTTCTAATTGTTATTTTATTTAGCCTGATGCAATTGTAGATTTCAGCAAAGTCGAGTTTATTTCAATTTCAGAAAATTCAGTTATTGCAAAAGGTGCATTGGGAAATTCAAGACCATCGACCCTACTAAGATTGGTAGCAAGAAATGCCGGTTTTAAAGCATGGGCTGAAATTAGTTATGGTGGATTGGGGTGTGTCGAAAGGGCTCATTGGGCATGTAAACTTATATATCATTGGATGGAAGGTAGAAAGAAAGGTGTTATGAATGATGTTTTTGTATATTTAGTTGGCTACAATAGTTTATATTTCCCACATGGTTCAAATTTCTCACAATTACCAATCTCTATTGAAAAAATAAGTCAAGAAACAGATCAACAAATTAAAGAGTTACAACATCAATTACAAGTAAATAATCAATATCCACCTGAAGTTAGATTAAGATTCGATGGTTTATTTAAAAATAAAGAAGATGCCGAAGCTTTAGGTATGGAGTTACAAGGTTTGGGCTTATGTGGTCCAGCTGGTGGAGGTGGTTTTGCTTTTGGAATTAAAAAAGATGTTAGATTAGTAAAGCAACTAATTCCAAGAGAAAAAATCAATTGGAATATTTATGTATTTTCAAATGATAATTTACTATCATTCAATAATAATGATCATAATTATAATCATACTAGTAATATTGTTAATAATAGTAGTATCAATAACAATAGTAATAAACTTCAAGATTTATTTAAAAATGAATTTATTACAATTAAAAATAATAATATAATAACTTTTAATAATAATAAAAAATATCCAAATAATTTTAATAATTCAGTGTTAATCAAAAATTCAAGTAATAATAATAATAATAATAGTAGTAATAAAGTTTTATTATATAATATATGTCATTCAAGAAGCGGGGATAAAGGAGATACCACAAATGTTAGTTTGATTCCATATGATCCAAAAGACTTCGATCAAATTAAAAAAGTGGTTACGAAAGAATGGGTTTCAAGTATTTACAAAAATCTTTTAAAAGAAGGTGTCGAGCCCGAAATTTCAATTTATTATCTTCCAGGTATCTCTTCTCTTAATATTGTCCTAAACAATGCTTTAGATGGTGGTGTTTGTGTCAGTAGAAGATTGGATCGTCATGGTAAAACCTTAAGTGACCTTATTTTAAATCAATGGGTTAATTTAGATTTACCATCTTCAAAATTATAATAATTATATCCGATCATCATAATAATAACAGCAATAATCATTTATTTTATATATTTATTTAGTTTTTTTTTTTTTATTTTATATTCAATATTTTGTTATGTCAATAGTAATATTATGTATATTTTTTTTTTTTTTTTTTCGTTTTAAATATTTTATAATAAAAAAATTTGGTAATAAAGAAATTAAATAAACTGGTTTATAGTTTATTTTTATTATTTTTTTAAAAAAAAAAAAAAAGATTTAAATGGGTTTTATTAAAGATAAAACTTTTATTTTATTTATTTATAAGTTGTTGATTGTTGTTGTTCCAATTGTTGTTCCAAGACCACTAATATATCTTGGATTTCTTTGATATTGTCTTTCTTTAAAAGATATAATAAAATATCACTATTGTCGCTGCACTTTAGGAAAAGGAATGATTTATATAAAAGATAATTATTTAAAGTTGATAAATCAATCATTCTTCTAAACATATTAAATTCTTGAATTACTCTAAGCTTCATTTCTTCTGAAAGATTTCTTAAAATAATCGAATTATTGGTGTTTTCTAAATATTTAGAGCTCCATTTTTTGCAAAATAAATTATCTGTTGCAGTATTTTAAAAAAAATTAATATTTAATATACTGATTGCGATTATATTATTTTATATTTACCTTTCTTTTTATTTAAATTTAGCTTTATATTATTACTATTATTATTACTATTATCATTACTATTATCATTACTATTTTCATTACTATTTTCTTCGATTTCTATTAAAAACTCTTTATCGTTATCATTACTACTATTATTATTTTGATCAGAAGTATCATTAAAATATTCGTTGCTGTTATCTTGCTGATTTTGATTTTCGTCGGGTTTAATTAAAAATTCGTTTGGGTTTAATTCAATAGTTGATAAATTTACAATGCTGATAGTTTTTAAAAAACTGATAATATCATCAACATTTGATTTTGAACCTTTAATCTTAAATATGTTACCTGATAATGTTGCATAGATAATAAATGATAGATTGTTGTCCAATATTCTAATTGCTCTTGAAATGTAGTCTATACAAGTTGAGTACCAGTTTGAAAGTTTTGTTTGAATTGTTGGACTGATGTTATTGGTGTCTTTGATAAGTCCGTTTAAAGATGCACAAAATTCGGTAAGCTCTAAATGAAACATTCCAAAATTTACATCACTTTGAGTTTCACAAACTAGACATAAATAATATTCCTTGGTAAATTCTATTTTGGTTTTTGATTTTATTGGTGAGCTTGTTGATGTATTTCCCTCTAAAACGTCATTCACAATATCATCTATATCGTCATTAATTGAAAAATCTACTAAATTATCTAAATTCTCTAATTCATCTTGAAATTTATTATTCTTTAAAATTAACTCTTCATCAATTAAACTAATTTCATTTGCCGAATTCTTTTCTTCGCTATCGCTATTATTTAATGTTGATTTATTTATTGGCACTTCGATTAATGTATAAAAGCATGATAATGTAAATGGTTTATTTTGATTTATATTATTGTTTGGTGAAGTACTATTGTTTGTATTACTATTGGTAGTTTCTTGGTTATTATTATTATCATTAGTAATATTACTATTATTACTATTATTACTATTATTATTGTTATTGTTATTGTTATTATTATTATTATTATTAATATTATTATTATTATCGTTGGCATTAATGTTTTCGTCTTCATTTATATTTTCATTATTTATATTATTATTATTATTGATATTTGTTTCAATTGTACCAAATGAACCAGATTTATAAATCATATTTTTTGTAATCTTTTGATAAATAAATGATTTAATATTAAACTCTAAAGATTCTGGACAATTTGATTGAATTGTTTTAAGTGTAAATGATCTATCATCTCCAATTGAGTCTTTAATTAATAAACAATAGTTTGTTTTGCCAATGTTGTTCGATATTGTCTGTTGTTGTGGTAATAATGGGTTTATATTTGCATTTTGTTGTTGCTGTTGCTGTTGTTGTTGTTGGTTAATTTGGTCAGTTGATTGGGTCAATGAGATGAATTGAGATTTTTTCATTTTATAAATAATAACAACATAAAGTAAATTAAAAAATAAATTAAAAAAAAAATAAAAAAAATATTTTTTAAAAAAAAATAAAAATAAAAATTAAATAAATTAAAAAAAAAAAAAATAAAAAAATAAAAAAAATAATTACTATATTTATATATATAATAATAAATGATTTTTTATTTTATTTTGAATTTACTAATTCCTCCAATTCCTTGGTTTGGAATTGAATTAAAATTTCATCAATAAAACCTTCTAAACCTTCTTCTTCCATGCATGATGATAAATTACCATTGATTGAAACCCTGTGATCAGTTATACGATCTTGTGGATAATTGTAAGTACGAATACGTTCTGAACGAGTTGCATTACCAATTTGAGAGTTTCTTTCACGTTCACGTTCAGAGTGTAAACGTTGTCTTTCTTGCTCATAAACACGAGCACGTAAAATTTTTAAAGCTTTTGCACGATTCTGTAGTTGTGATCTTTCATCTTGCATTTGTACAACAATACCTGTGGGAAGATGGGTCATTCTAACAGCACTATCAGTGGTGTTAACAGATTGACCACCATTACCAGAACTTCTAAATACATCTACCTTGATATCACGGTCGTGAATTTGAAGATCGACTTCTTTTGGTTCTGGTAAAATTGCAACTGTAATTGTACTTGTATGAATACGTCCTTGAGTTTCAGTATCTGGAACACGTTGCACTCTATGTACACCACTTTCATATTTTAAGAAACCAAAAACACCTTTACCACTGATTGAAATTGTGCAATCTCTGAATCCACCTACTTCGGATGATTGTGACTCTAATGTTTCAAATTTCCATCCTTTCTGTTCACAATAATTTCTATACATTTCAAAAATATCCACAACAAACAATTGTGCTTCGCTACCACCGGTACCTGCTCTAATTTCCATAATTGCATTACCATCATCATCTTTATTGGATGGTAATAAACTAAGTAACAAAGATCTTTCCATTGGTAAAATATCATTATCTCTAAGTTCGTCCATATCTGCTTTAATCATCTGTTTACCCTCTTCATCTTTTTCTGAACGATATAGTTCATTTAATTCATTATATTCTGTTAATTTTTCTTTTAAAGTTGAGTAGTATCCTACTGTTTCTGATGTATCTTGAAGCTCTCTTGATATCTTTTTAATGTCATTTTGTGATAATCCTAATTGTTGACTATTAGCAACCATATTTCTTAACTCTGTACTTTTTTTAACCATTAAATCCAATCTATATAAAATATTAAGTGGTACTGAAGTTTTTTTAAATACTATTTAACAAAAAATTATATCAGTATATATTAAATTAAATTTATAATTTTAATCTAAAATATTTACATTCTTCATTTGTATATTGGCTAGTTGAACAATAATTCCTTTTATAAAAATATTTGCTATCGTTTATATTATTATTACAATTATAACTATATATATTTATAAAGTTTTTACTATTATTTAGTTTTACAAATTGGTTTGTGGCTTTATGAAAATATCTTGTAAATAACATGTTGTTATTTTAGGTGAATAAATATATGGTATAGTATTATTGAATGTACTATGATATAAATATCTTATATATATATTTGTTTCTAATAGTTTTTTTTTTTCGAAATAAAATTAGGAATTTAAACGAAAGTTATTTTTCATTATAAAATGATTTTTATTTTTTTTTTTTTTTAAAATTATTTTTTTTAAAATTTTTTTTTATTTTTTTATTTTTATTTTCAAAATTTCTTTCTTTATCTTTTAATATATTTTTAAAGTAAATTAAAATAATTATTATCACACCACAAATTAAAATTTTTTTATAAATTTTTTATATTAATTTTTTCATAATTTTTTCTTTTTTTTTTTTTTCACTTTATTTGTTAAATTATTATTTATTTATAATAATTTAAATATATCAATAGTATAAAATTAATAAATTATTAAAGATGGTTCAAAATGGAAGTAACGAAAAGCCAATTTCAATTATTGGTGGTGGTTTAGCAGGTGCAGCTTTAGCATTATTAATTGGACAAAGAGGAAATGTTAATGTCGAAGTTTTTGAAAGAAGAACTAAAGAGATGGATCCAAAACAAAGAGCAAGATCAATTAATTTAGCTTTATCAGATCGTGGAATAAAAACTTTAAAGAAAACTGGCCATGTTGATGATATTTTAGAGATTGCTATTCCAATGAAAGGTAGAATGGTTCATTCTATTGATGGTGATCAAAGTTTTCTTCCATATAGTTCTGATTCAAATAAACACCTCTATAGTGTTTCTCGTCAACTTTTAAATGAAAAATTAAGAGAACATGCCGAAAAATTACCAAATGTCAAATTCCATTTTAGCGATGTTTGCAAATCTGTAGATTTTAATAATGTTTCATTTGAAACTGTTTCTGATGGTAAAACTGAAAAACATTTTGGTAAAACTATCATTGGTTGGTAAGATATCTCATATCATCATCTATTATCGATACTACTACCACTATAGTGGTAGGGTAACCTGTCAACAAACACTAACTTTATTATATTATGTTTAGTGATGGAGCATTTTCAGCAGTTAGAAATTCAATGACAAGATTAGATAGACAAGATTATTCACAAAGTTATTTAAAACATGGTTATAAAGAATTATCAATCCCACCAGGTGAAAATGGTACATTTTTAATAGATAAAAACTCATTACATATTTGGCCACGTGGTTCCTTCATGATGATTGCATTACCAAATATTGACGGTAGTTTTACATGTACACTTTTCTTCCCATTCGATGGAGAACTTAGTTTTAAATCATTAGACACCAAAGAAAAGGTAGAAGATTTCTTTAAGAAATACTTTTTGGATGCCTACAATTTAATGCCAACTATTATAGAAGACTATTTCACCAATCCAACATCATCATTAGTTACCGTTAAAACTGACCCATTCAATGTAGATGGCAGAGCTGTATTAGTCGGCGATGCTGCACACGCTATTGTACCATTCTATGGCCAAGGTATGAATGCAGCATTCGAAGATTGTTTAGAGTTAATCAATTGTTTAGAAGATAACTCATTACGTTCAACCGATCAAGAATACTCCATCGAACATCTTACTCGTGTCTACTCTAGATACCACGATAATAGAAAAAAGAACTCTGATGCCATTGCTGAAATGGCTGTTGAAAACTTTATCGAAATGCGTGACTCTGTTGCCGATCCACTTTTCCTCTTTAAGAAAAAAGTAGAACAAATGCTCGAAAAACAATTCCCAAATCGTTACATCAGTCGTTACGAATTAATCTCTTTCTCCACCGAACCTTATTCCTATGCTCAACAAACTGGTTTAGCCAACCAAAGAATTCTTTCAAAATTAGTCGAAGGTAATACTGAATATGATATTAATAAAATTGATTTATCATTAGCTGATAAATTAATTAAAGAAATTTTAAATAAATAAATTAAACTATATAATATATATATTATATATTTATACACAAAATAAAATAAAATATAAAATAGATCAATTTTTATTTTAAATCATTATTATTATTTATTTACAATTTGATATTATACCAATATACTATATATCATTTTTAATTATCTTTATTATTATTATTATTACTATTACTATTATTTTCTTGATCCTTTTCGAGGTCCTTAGCTAAATGGGCCTCTAACATTCTTCTTTTATGTTCTTCATAGTTATTTTTATATCTTTTTGATTCCTTACCAATATCCTATTGTTTAAATTTAAAAAACTTTAATTAATACTGAAATGATTATTTTATAGATTATTTATCATTATTTATTATTTTATTGCAACTAAATAGTTTTTTTTTATCTTACATTTGAACCAGAATTTAAAAAACTACCTCTAACACCAGATCCTTTTGGATAAGTTTCAATAGTTGGTTTATCTTGCATTAAATTAATATATGCAAGTGGAAATAATAAACCAAGACCAATAACTGAAAGAATTGCAAAAGCTAAAGTTTTATTTCTAACTCTTCTTTGATTTTGAAATCCAGGATGTTGGTGATATCCTCTTTGAAAATTATTATTATTTTGTGTATTATTTTTTTGGTCACCTCTTAAACTACTCATTTTAATGTAATATTATCTATTTCTTAAAAAAAAAAAACTATGAAACAAAAAATAAAAAAAATAAAAAATAAAAAATAAAAAATTAAAAACTAAAAACTTTTTTTATTTTTTTTTATTTTTTTTTTTTTAACAAATAATAATTATCAAATCATTAGAATCCATCATTTTTAAGTTTTTGGTATAATTTAAAAAAAATAAAATAAAATAGAGTTATTTTAAATCTTTATTAAAATAATATTATTAGTTTTTATTTATTTATTTTTTTTTTTTTTTTTTTTTTTTTTTTTTTATTTATTTATTATTTATTATTTTGAAACAATTTTTAAAAACTGATAAAATATTGGATCCAAATCAGATATAAAATCAATAGAAGATAATGGAACTTTAATTTGTTTTAGTTTGTAGAAATTTGGAGTATTATTATTTATATTTGAAGTTTTGATGATTGGTGTTGAAAATCCAATTACAATTGTTTCTAAATTTTTAAAATAATCTAAATTTAAAACCTTACGGAATGAATTACCAATTGTTAATGTTTTGATTTTGTTATTTAACGGTAAATCATTTTCGTTTATATCTTTGCTAAAACCATAACCCAGATCTAAATTCTCCAAATTGATTTTATTTTTTAATGAATATTTTTGAGTACCAAATAAGTTTTCATGGCCAAAAAATGAAATTGATAGCAATTCTTTAGGCCTTGATGTATAATATAACCATTTCTCTTTAAATTCTATACCCCTTTCAAACTGTATGGTTAGGTTTGGATTATTAACAATAATTGGTATATGATGATAATTTTCATTTGATATAATCAATCTTTCTAAACTTGGTGGAATATTGTACTGGTCAATTACTTTATTAAACCCTTCACCAAAAGCCAGTTCTTTTAATTTACCATTTTTTGGAAATGCATTGGTACCTATAGATTGATTAAAACCTGAATCAAAATAAACCTGCGTGAGAGATGCTGGAAATATGTTATCTTGGCTTAATGGCATAAATTTGTTTGAAAATGCACTATAGGGACCATTTATAAACTCCAAATGCTCAAGGCTTGGTGGTAGTTGATTTGGTAGCAAAGGCTCATTAAACAACACTCCAAAAGTATTGCCCAACTCTAGTATCTTTAAACCCCGTGGTAAAATCGAAATGTCATATGCATCGTCGCTGCTTTGTGATAGATCTGCCTCCATTAAAATTTCGAGCTTTAATTCTACCAAATTCACCAGTTTTGAAAATATTTTCGCTGTTTTTTTGGGATTTACAACTTTTGACAAAGTTAAAAATAAATGTTCCATTCCTTTTGGAAATTTAAAACCTCTTGGTAATTCGTTGATGCCAATGTGTAGAGATGTTAGGGTTTCAGGGAATTGGAAAGATGGTTCTATTTCAAAGTTGGAAAAATTGTGGATTTTTAAAGAAACCAAATTTTTTGTGAAAAATCTTGAATTAAAATCAAATTGGTGTTTGTTACTGTACAATGATAGATCTGTTAAAGAGTCTGGTAACGAGTCGACTTGAACCCTATACAACTCGGAATATTTTAGATCAAGCTTCTTTAAATTTGATGGCACCCATTCTCTATTTATTACAGATTCATAGTTGACCAACGATAGTTTTGTAATCGAGTCTTGTAATATATTCTTTTCGATTTTGAATTGATTAAATGAAAAGTTTATAATCTTTAAAGACTCTAGTTGGTCTAAGCCCTCTAATAACCTGATATCAAATCCTGATGGCAGCTCTACTGAAGTTAGCCACTGAGGTATATTCTTTATTGAATTTATAACATCAAGTGATTTATAATGACCTGGCCCATCATATATTGAATTACAATAATTTATTGATTTAATATTTTTCTGTGTTAAAACTAAATCGCTACTCTGAAAACTGATACAAACATTTGAAAGATATTCCTTTTCTTGAAAATTGATAAACTCTTGAGTGTCTTTAAATTCTTTGTCTTGGTTTACTTTATATTTTATTGACAAATCTAACATAAACCCTAATATTATATTTTTCAAATATTTATTTTTCCAAACTTTATAAAATAAAATATTAATTACTTCATTATAACTATTATTATTAATGTCTCTATTATTGCTATTATTATTATTAATATTATTAATATTATTGTGGCTATTGTGGTTGCTGTGGTGACTGTGGCGGTTGTTGTTATTGTCATTATTATTATTATTATTTCTGCTTCTTTTTTTTTTATTTTTAATTTTATTAAATAAAAACATTTTAATTAACTTTTATTTTATTTATTGATAAATGAAATTTTGTATTATATTTATATAACATTATTATTTTTTTATTTTTATTATTGTGTTTATAAAAACCAAAAACTTATAAAAAATTTTAAAAAAAAAAAAATTTATAAAATAAAAATAAAAAAATTCAAATTAAAAAAAATAAATTAAATATAAATAGAATTAAATTGAAAAAAAAATACAAAAGAAATAATCATTAATATAAACTAATTATTTATTTTTTTTAATTTGATTATTTAGGTAATTTTTTTTTTTTATTTTTTTTTTTAACAAGTTTTTACTTGATTGGATATAACAATTAGGGTTTCAAATAATCAAGCTATTTGATTTAATAGATCTTAATAATAATAATAAAAATAATAATAATAATAAAAACAATAATAATAATAGAATAATAATGGAATAGTAATAATAATAATAATAATTATTTCAAAAAGAAAATTGAAACACTTAAAATAACCTACACACTAAAAAAATAAATTTTTTAAAAATAATAAATCCTTTTTTATCAATGTGATAAATAAAACTTTTTTTTTATTTATTTATTTATTTATTTAATATGAAAATAATTTTAAATGTTGGGAAATTATTAAAACAAATGTTGGTATCGGTTCTAAACAAGTATTTTGATCGTATTCCCTAAATTAAAAACAAATTGCTTTTAAATGTATTATTTTAGAAAATAAATATAATAATAATAATAATAATTCTGTGTAATAAAATTATTACTATTATTTTTTTTCATGTTTTTTTTTTTCATTATTTTAAAAAGATGTTCACCGAATAAATAGTAGCAAATCTCTATGGCAAAAAAGATCAGCTGTGGAGTCAGTGCCTTTGTCTTGTCTTATCACAACGCCAAAATATGTAATAGTTAATACTCATTGTTAGCGGGAAAAAATGATAAGACTTGCTAAGAATTATAAATTGTTTTATATATAAAAATTTTCTTTTATAGGCCCCGACCGGAAAGCAGACTTTTGGGTAAAAAAAAAAAAAATTTAAAATTTTTTATAAATTTTTTTTTTAAAAATTCGTTTTTTACAAAAGATTTACACAAAAGTTTTTTTTAGAGAGAAATAATTAATTGAAAAAGATATATTAAATATAAATAAAATAAAATAAATTAAAAAAAAATTATAAAAGTTGAGGGTGTGTGTTTTGATTAAAAATTTGAAACAACCCCATAAAAATTTTAAAAAAAAAAAAACAATTTAATTTTAATTTATATATAATGTTTTATATTGAATATTATCAAAACTATTATCTATGGTTTATTAATTTAATAAACCATAGTAATAAAAATAATAATTTTATTTTATTTTGTTTTTAATTTTCTTTTTTTTAAAAAATTGATTGATTATTTTTATATATTCATTCAATTAACCAATACGGTTTGTTGTTGTTTTTTGGGAGTAAGCCACCAGAGCATTATTCTTCTAAAACTGCTTTGACCACTGTTGCTACTACTGCTGATATCGTCGCTATTGTTGATGTTACCTAATAATGACGCTCTTTCATCACTATTATCGTTGTCATATTCTTCAAAATTATTGTTGTTATTGTTATAACTACTATTAACTGAGCTTTGGCCATCGTTATTATTGTTATAAACATTAATTTCTACTTGAGCTTTATTATTTATATCCAATGGTTTTTGCTTTAATTTTTCTTTTTCAATATCTATAACAGTTTCATCGTTTTTATCGGCAGCATTACTATTGTCTTTTTTATCTTGGTCTTGAATTTGTTGATCCAATTTTTTATTTACAGCTCTTTTACATAAATGAGATGAAAACGATATTTTACAATCATTTATACACCCGATACAGCATAAAGAGCGATGGTACCCTTACCCATTTTCAAACCAT